ATAATATTATCATAATGACGGTTACTTACGTTCAACGATTTCGACAAATATATGTATATCGTTGCAGGGATAAAAAGCACTCACCACTTTTTTACGAGGTCGAGTTCAACAATCGTGTTTAAACCATAACTGTAAGCACGAGGCCCATTTTCGTTTTTGTTTTCTTTTAAGCCTCGTCGAACTAAATTTTCCTCTCTTAAGTCTTTGATTTATTTTTCCCGATAAATACATATTGTCGTATTAATATTTCCCTCCTCGTTACTGCAGTGTGAATCTGACATGTACAGTACCAAAACTGATCAATGAATAAAATAGGACTTTAATTCCCGAGCTACAGTTTACATTATTTTCTTATTAACACCTATTATCAATACCTAGTAAGACTAACGAAGGTCTTTATACATTTTTATCATACTTATGATTCCTGATTTTATGCACCTCCCAATTTTGCAAAAATTTAACATTATTCATATTTTTTCGACCCATGTTGTATAGGACCGCTATTCGAGTATTATTTATATGGTAAGTGCAAGACCACTATCACATACATAATAATATGGGTAGTTTGAGGGTGTATATTTATTATATTGAGTAGGCGGGTTCGAAAAAAAAAATCCAAACAATTTATTATTTTCGCAGAAAAAAACAATTTTAGGTCAGCTGGGCAAATTATGAAGTGCATAAAATAAAAAGGTATCGTTTTGCAACATATAATTATTATCGTTTGCATGCAGGTAGCCACTATGGGTATATGAAACCTAAAGAATAGAAATATACAAAATGATCGATTCAAACAGCGGTCACGAATGCAAGCTTGCAATTTTCTACCACCCACTTTGATTACAACCATGACGACAACGAAAGATCGAAAACGTTCGCTGGGCTTAACGCGATATCGTATATGCAATTCATATTATAATAGTTCGTTTTTAACGGTCGATCTGTTCGCCGGGCTTCAACGGCAGACCCGAATTTTCACCGAGACGTTATTGTAATATATATATATTATATTGTATTATTATTTTTACTCCCTCCCATCAACACCTCATCTCGTTACCCTCCCCAGCCCCGACCACACCGCACCGAACTATAAGCGGTCGTTCGTTTTTTTTCCTTCCTCGCGCGGTATTAGGTAAATGGATTTTTAATTGAATTACAAATTAACGAGCTCTCGACTCCGGGCGAACGAATATTATACATACACACACAGCCTGTTTATGTTAATGTGCTGCAGCATGTATACGTGACGGTCGATTATACAAGACGCGCAAACTGGAAAATAACCACGGACATTCAACAGCGCTAAATGGTAAAAATTAAAACCTATCGCTTTCTTTTTCCGTACAACGGGCTGCCTGGTATGATCTCGATAAACGCAATACTATTTTAATATGTAATTATATACTCGCGATTACGCTCTGCTAACAGATTGTGCGGCAATAGCGATAATAATATATGTGATAGGTATACCTATTAAACTACGTTACGTGCTCGCGCAAGTCAAGTTACGCCGGGTCGGGCCTGTATATATATATTTTTATATATAATAATATAATTAATAACATACATTGGGCTTTATACGATTTAACGATATTATATCTTAATGTCGAAACATCACCGAACTGTTTATATACCCGGCCGGTACAATATTGTAAAAATAAAATAATAATATGATGTCATAACGCGTTTCGGAGACAGAGCATAGTTAATAATACTATTATAATAACGATAGTTTTACAGCATAAATTATTATATTATTGTGAAGTAGGTAGATAGTATACCTGTTGTACTGCTGGCGCACATTATTATATAACAATCATGTTGATAGAAATAATGTAAGACTAGATTTAGCGGACTAGAATTTCGTATACATTTTTTTATATCATAATCACATATTTTTTTGTGTAAGCACTCCTATCTTCCTCTCGGGTGCTCAAGAAACGTCGAATCTAATATTGATAATAATGAAAACAAACTACCCAGAATAATAATAACCGCCTGAATAGGATATGTCTGTAGATTAATTATATATAAAGGTGTCGATTGACATTTTTTCGAAAAAACATGTTTTATTACATGGCTCAAAATCGTTTACCTATATACTAAAATATTTTTTTTGAATACTTTTCAATATTAAACAATTAATAAACATCGATAATATTATGGTAAAATATGAAGTCAGTTGTACCATTCTTCTATTCAGAGACACACAATTGATAAAGAAAACACCATCACTACACATTTTGAATCTAAACATTTTGAAAGATATCATAATATTATCCACTCATTCCTTAGATGTTGGAAGCCAAAGCTCACGGAAAGACGAATATCGCTGAGTAGTTACACACAATACTCTTCGGATATAAAATCAAATTGAGTATACAATTTTACTACCTACCAAGAAAACCAGCAAAATACCTGAAGATTTGTATGAGAAAATTATATCCTACTTACGTCACACAAACCCAATGGGCATTGCCTTTATGGCCTTATTGAGTCTATAGATTATAATCCAAATTAAAACATATTACATTAAGATTCATATAATGTTAGACAACGTACTGTCTATCTTACTAGTTTGCTAAGTATAAACATTGTAATAATACGTAAATATACGAGTATATTTATTTTAAAATTGATACAAAAATCTTAAGCACGCGAAGCTTAATAAGTCAAACACTGCTCGAATGAATTTCTGTGTAGATATACAGGTAGTACATACAAATTATCTGCCAGATAAATATGCCAATATTATGCCGAAAAATATCGCCGTGAATTGAAAAAAAAAGAAGTTTGTTCCACCATAGGATACACCTTAAATTGCATAACAAACCTAAGTAATTGAATAAGAACTCAAAACAATATTTAATTGGAACAAAAAAAAAAGGAGTGAGAGTGCTAAATAAATCACGCTGTATGGTGTATGTATATAGGTCACGAAACAGGGTCCGCGACGGCGATGGACTTCGGGACGTTTTGACCGCGGTAATAGTATATAATATGTAAATTGTAAATCGTGGTACCTACCTACGCATTATGATAATGTATACAGCACGCCGAGTGTTCAGTACGTACTCGTATATAAAATAACACTATATTATACAGATAGGATTTTTTTTTTCATTTCCTAGTTGTTTGTTTATAGTGTTACTATGTATTCCGAACATATGATGAAACTAATAACTTAGTTTGGTCTACAATCACAGGGTGCTGCCTCCACGTTAGTCTTTTAAATCCCCCTAAACTTTAAAACTATTTGAATACTCAATATAAATTAGTAAAGTTTGGCCGTTAAAGTATTCACACGAAATAAATCTTTGAATAATTTTGGTCAACTTTGTTGGTTCCATGAGTCACACACGAAAATAACTTTTTTTTAACTTTGATTTTGGTAAACCGAGAAACGTGACTAATTTATATTATAATTAGTATTATGTATAATAAACTGTGGATTTCTATCAAAATGCTGCAGTAATGATGTAAGAACATCGCAAGTGGTCAAAGATATAATATAGACAAAAGTTACCTAATATAATTTGAAAACTCCTATACATAAAATGATTTTATAATAATACCACATCTGTTTAAAATATAATAAATTGTGTTGGCGAATAACCACAATATATAATATTTAACATGTAGACGACAACAACTAATGAAGATAGTGTAGCGTATATAGGTTCTAAAGATGATTTCGCTCGGTGTTCATCAAGACCTTCGACAAGTTAGAACGAAAAGGGAAAAAAATACACATACATACATATGCACTTGCAGCATACCTTCACATAAAAACTGATGGCAATAAAAAATACCGATCCTAGACGACGCCTCGAGCGCATCGGTGTAAAATATGACTTCGGTATACCATATACATTGCGGCAGACGGATAAAACGCATGATAATCTCTTTCTTATCGCGAATAAGCTCGCAAATGCGCTTGCGTTTATATATATTATAATAATACTGTTTTATTCGTACGTATGCGTCGTATAAGTTATAACTTATAACATTATAATATATCATGTATTATACATCATCGTCGGGTACGGGTTTTAGTCGATCACGTATACTCGCAAGCGGTGGTGGCTATACTTGGACGGTAGGTGGTGGGCGGTGGATAAGGACAAGCCACTCAAAAATCCTATACAGTTGACACACGTAGTCGAATATATATATATATACCTACACATATGTATATCTGAGTGTGTTGGCTTTATATATGCGCCGTGCGAGTACCTATCATATATAATATGTTATTATAAGCTCGCGGCACTCTCTTGGTTAACGTACCTTTGTAAATATATATATATATGTGCGTATGCTTAAAGAATCTGCTCGTATAGTGTGCATGTATATATAATAATATGCGCAGAAAAAAAAAGCTCTGTGAGCCAACCACGAATATCCATTTTGGTCTCGTGTGCGGACGGAATACGGTCGACGAATTACCGTGACGCACTGCTGCAGCCGAAGAATGTATGTAATAATAATAATAATATAAGGATCGACTACCAATGTATAATATCATATTGTTCTCGAAGACGACCAAAATATGGATCCTACACGTTTGCTCGGGACCCGCTGAAGCAGTCTGCAAAGTACATAACCTCATTAACACGCTATTATCATCGTGTATAGGCGCCGAGGATAACGTCACTCGCTTATATTATTACACTCTCGTATAGAGGAAAATCCGCGTACGCGTATTGGTTTTAAATTTAATTCGATTGAACCAACAAAGTTTGTCGAGCAAAATATTCAGTCCCCGCCGTTACGCGACGTATTATTCGACGTATATATATGAATATCATTGTGTTGTAGTTCAACTATACTTTAATAATATAATATATAATAATATGGTCGACTGGAGTGTGCAATTTCGATTTTCACCGCTACCTATAACCACAAACTTTAGCGAACAACCGAGTCAACTCTAACAAGCGAGTACCATAAGCATATTGTGTTTTATTATCATACGTATTATTCTGAAAGTACGTTACCGGCGGCGAACACTCGAAATTCTTAAGAGACGTTATAGACGACTATAATATTGCGTTTCGTTCAAATTACCTGAAACAGAAAAAAATAAAAGTTTAATACAAATTCACCTTGGATTGAGATAGGTACACCGTATAAGACAATTTATAAATTGGTTCGCTAAATATGCGAGAATCCTATGGTATCATTGTATTGAGTGATGGCGATTATGTGTTTACAGAATCTCACAATATATCTACGACAATAATACTCGTCTATGTAATACCTAGTAATACCTATAAGTAAGCACGGTATATTATTATATTATTATTACTAAATACACCCACAATTATACGGCCTATATTATTATACGAGTATAGTCGACATACGCGATTTCCGTGGCACTCGGCCGGAAGAAAAATGTTCGACAATAAAACGCATTCATTACGATATTATATATTATCATCGTGTATATTATATAGACCGATTTGTACAAATGATCGTCTATTGTTGTGCACCGTATACGAAATACGCTCCGGTTTTAACGTGCGTGTAATTACTCCTACGGCGTCGCCTTTGACGCGTACAATATCATACGATTTACAATACACTGCAACAGCGTTGTATACACACAACGCCAGCTAAATATTGTTCTAATAGTGTGTGAGAAAGTTCAGAACGTCCGGCAAATACAACACGTATATTATACACATTACATTATATGGCTATATGCAATTGAAAAATAAAAAATTAACGACGACGAGGTCCTTATTGTATATAACATGATGTTGTTCACAATAATAGTAGAACTGGTGGTGGTGGTGGTTGCAGTGGTGGTGTTGATGGGAGAGGGAGGTCGGTAGTAGAACAGCAACGGCAACGACTTAAGCAAAATATACAGTGTGATATTTTTAATCGTACCTCAGAAAGTAGGTACAAGAGGGGATTTTAAATGGTATTTAATCGTAAAGCAACAACAACCGTTTTTTTTTTCATAAACATATTATATTCCATGATAATTTGTATGATTGTAAATTAAAAATACTTTATTCTCGTCCTGAAACAGACGGAAGGTAAAAAGTAATCGCTCTGTATAGTAATATACACACTATATGTATTATATATATATATATATATATTTATATTTATACAACGGGAGCACTGCTTATGAGCTTATGCGATGACGGTGACGCGAACGTACCAAACGCGCGCATGCGCATACACTCGCACACTTAATGACCGTATTCCGGACGGTTCTAGGGACTGATGAAGCTATTCATAAAACGAAACTCTCGTGGTGGTGTACATATTATATAATATACTGCGGTTGTAGTAATAGCGGTATACCGCGCGCACAAACGTGACGACCGATTTGACAATCGTCACACGAGTTAAGCTCCCCCCCATCCCCCCTCCACCCAACCACGAAAAGGGAAAAGAGTGATATATAATATTTTCACTCCCCTCGAAACACGTCCGAACGCGACACACACTACATCCATATCTGTACGACGGCGTTATGATATTATATATAGTGCTTTTTGCCCGCTACAACAAATCCTTTCCGAGAGAAACCTCGTTGATCACGTGTGACGGCCTACGTCATAATATAATAATAATAATAATATGTACTGTGCGCGATATAATGTACGCGTTACGTGAGTTGCACAGGAGCAACTACACGTCACATATACGAGAGACGGTGAAACACGGCACTGCCGACGACGATATAATGTGGTTCGCGTAAAATATATTTTTATATTATACGCATATGTCATGTGTACAATATGTGTTACGAGATTTACACCATCGTCAACGATGTGTCGGGCGAAGGATATTGTTATATTATTATTATATTACGGCGCGACGTCGGTCCGACGGGCGACAGGTGCACCACCTCCGCGTACGCATCCTGCACAACTCCCTGAGTGTTTTTCGTGGTTCGGTCTGAGTATATATATATATTATATTGTTTAAAAGGATTTTCAAAAATTGACGCTAAAATAAATAAATAAAAATAAAATAAACAACAGAGATAGGATAAGGCGTTTTTTTTTTAAATTTAATTTTTGATTCACCACGACTATGTATGATAGTCTCAACAGTATAATAATAAACAATATGTTTGTCGTAGTCAATAGCCGTGTGTCATAAAACAATTTTTTGCCCAATGAAAAATGCTGTATCGAAAATAAAAGTTTGAATACGGCGGTATTCACGCAATATTTAAAAAACTATAAAAGCATAAAATAACAACTGCATCGATCGAAATCCATACCGAGTGATGCACGTGATACGTCCTCGAGATAAACAATACAAATAATAGGTAATACAAGTATACTTTCGTAGTATATGCCGACGGCATTGTCGCATATAATAATATGTCATACCTGTGTATTATTTGCTCACACAGTTCAATATATTATTATTATTTTTTTTTTACAATAAAACACGGACACCGCATCGTATGACCTATACGTCTATATTGTGACATACATTGGAAGAAAATCGCATATAACAGATTCTCAATGCACACTGTTATTATGTGACATTCTTAGTACCTACAGGACCGTGGTATAAACCAAACACGCATCGTCGTATACGCAAGTATTCTATATGTATATATAATACACGTGAATATATTATTATAACATGGTGGGACGGTGAGATGACGAGGAGTGTGCCCATCAACACTCAACACGCACAACATCGCATTGTGGGGTTTTGTACTCGGGTTTCACAGGCACTGTTATTATATAATCAACTTTATTTTTCTAGAGGTGTCTCGTCTAATATTATGCATTAATTATTAAATACCTACACTATTCCGAGGGCCAAATAGGTATAAGCGTGTTTTTTTTCTGATTTTCACAAAGAATTTGTGACAACCACTCAAAAATATGCACACAGTGATTACACAACCTAACCAACATTTCTATCAAATAATACCTACCTAATACTTTTATTCGATTTCTGAATAATTTAGTAAATATTAAGTAAACTGTTAAATATACATACCATATTTTCAAATTATATAATATTTATGTACCGTTTTAGGAGTATCAGGTGGCAGTACGAGTACACCACTTATTTTTTTTTTCATAGCTGAACTTTTTTTGTTGTAAATGTATTGTTAATCAGATGATGCTTTTAAAAGTGTTGCTTTATTGAGTGGTATTCGAAATTCAAACTCAAATAGTTTCTGATGTATTAAACTAGGTATAATAGTCAATTATAAATCATAATAGGTTAAGAAGATACTATGGAGGCTATTACAATTCTAAAAATGTAGTATTAACATAATTTATTTATTAAAATATTGTAATTTATAACATTTTTGTGCACTAAAAAGCAAATACTAAATATTACATTTATTTTTTATTTTATGTAGAAATCTTTATTATTAACTGTTATCCTTAGTACATGCAGTTCAAAAACTTAGAAATTATACTAGTTTGCATTTTGATGAAAGTTTACAGACATTATCAAGACAATAATCTGATTTCTGATGAAAATGGTAGTTTTCATATGAAAAAAAGAGTTAATTTCATCACAGAACACTTCCTATATATAATGAATAATGCTATATAAATCTATGTCTTTGAAAATATGGTCCTCGAGTACACTTAAAAATTACAAAGATCAGAGTTTTAATGAAATATGTATTACAAAAAAGATAAAAAGGGATGGGGAGTATACATGGACGATTGGTTGATAAACCTGTGTTCGTATATGTATCATGATAGTAATATTATAAACTATCATCGTTTTAAATTGCGAATGTGTGGTATATATATACATAATGTAGTATTAAATATGTGTGTGTGTATGTGTATGTGTTTTATTATAATACATATTGTTCGCCACAATTATTTGAAAAAAAAAGAGATGTAACTCCTACCCCGCGTGATATCTGCAGTACGGCGCATAATTAAAGTGAGTCAACAAACATTTCTTTTGTAATGTAATTGTATTCGAGACAATAGGTTGTTTTGTTGAAAAAAAACAAGACGAAACTTTTTCGAGATATCAAGAAAAATAATTTTATACATGTATATAAATTAAACAATTTTAAATTTTCAAAAGATTATTAAGGACATTCAACGAGAATAAATTGAGTTTTATTCGTGCATCGCATATAATATATATATATACATAAAGTATATACTTTTGAAAAGTTTGCACAGACCCTTGAGACAATTTACGTATATTTCATACGAATAAAAGTTTTAGTTTTCTACAAAAATCATGTTTGTTGCTCGAAAAACCTGAGCAATTAGCGTGGTATAAACATTTGCGAAAGCGAGTGGAGAACGAATAGTATAAAAGCGTATTATTGAATTAAGGGCACTGCAGCAATTCAAACACAATAATAATATCGTGCTCTTGAACCCAAAACTGCAGATTTGATCTCGATCAACCGATATCAAGAAACACGTTATATTCCGCGGGCGTTTCGATGTAATAGTTATTATTATACGTCCGCAGCGCTTTTCGATATAATATTTTGTTTTCGATTGAGCCTACAGGTCAAAACAACTATGTGTTTGGAGTCTGAAAATCGATGGTCCAAATACGACTATATTATATACTGTTGTAGTCGTAGTGCGTTGTAAGATATTATTAAACACGCCATGTTTACATTATTTTACCCGTTTCCGACCGATTTTTTCCCGTCGTGTAAACCTAAAAAGTTTGTGCGCGTTATATTGTTTCGGCGGGCCCTGCGCTGGTTATTATAATTTCGTATACAGATTCATTGTGCGCTCGAACAATATCCGACTTAAACGCGTACATATGCGTATATTATGTGTCCTGTATAGTCGAGTGTACATATTATTATTATTATTGTAATATGTATGCGCACCACAAATTTGGCGGCGTTGACAAAAGAACGTATATACATATATTATTATAATATATACATAAAACAATTGGTACATAGCTTATATATACATATTTAATTACACTCATATGCACATACGTATATACATATATATGCGAGTATGTATACCTATATAATATATATAGAGCTTACGCGTGTGTGTGAGTGTCCTTTACCTATTTGTAGTTTGTTATTTATGCGTTTTCTA